TCCCCAACACAGTCCCCACTTCCCTTAGGCATCCATCAGTCCCCAGCTCTTTCTTCGGACCTCTGGTTGTCCCCAGTCCAACCGCTCCACCGGGAACTGGTGCGTATCCCCCTCTCGGTGGGGAAGTGCCCTGGAGCAAGCCCAGCCCTGATCCTCCCCTACCCCGASCGCCCGAGGGTCCGGCTGCTGTGGAGCCCCCAGCTCAGCCCCACCTCGAGGATGCTCCTCGTTTCCTCAGGAGGACCGATGGCCCCTCGCCGAGTGGGAGGAGCAGGCAAAGCCCCCCCAAGCCCTTCTCGGCCCCCCTGCCCCCCCAGCGGAGGATGCTCGTGGATCCCAGCAGCGGGAAGTGCTACTACGTGGAGCCRCCTCGGCAGCCCCAGATGAAAACGCTCTACGACCCCGAGACCGGGCAGTACCTGGAGGTGCTGGTCCCACCGGTGGCGTCACACACCGGGGTCTACCAGGCACCTTTCAACCCCCTGGTCGTGGCCCCGGGGGTCTATGGCCCACCCTACGGTCCCTACGGCGGCTTCCCGGGACTCCCAGCACCGCCACCCTCCGCCCCCTCGCCGCCACACCCCGACCTGCCGGCTGCCGACAATCCCGGCGTGCCCGGGACCCCCGGCTCTGCTCCCAAGGGCGAGGGGCCGTCCCCTGCCGGGGGTCCCGACTGCGGCTACCTGGAGAGTCTGTACTACATCCCCACGGGGATGCGGGCCAGCCCCGGCCCCGAGCAGCCCCCGGCCCGCGCCAGCCCCGCCGCTCCCGAGAAGGGGTCACTGCTCCGGATGTGACAGGATGGACCCGTGTGGATGTCCCTTCCCGTGGCCGGGCTGTAGCCCAAAGTCAGCATCACCCTGGCACGGGAGAGCCCCCTGCCCACGGCTGAGCTGGCAAAGCACCGAGGGGCATTTGGCACTGGTTGGACCTCGCCGGCTTCTGGTGGAAATAGGGACAAAACCGGTATTTTCCAGTGTGAGCACCTGGCAGCCCTGGGGGGCATGGAGGCGTGGACCCCGGCCAGCAAAGGAACCACACTGCTCCTGCTTTCCCCATCCTKCCAGCCCCATCCCACCGATGACCCGGRCTGTTTGGTACAGGGGGGTGATGGCCTGCCCACCACAGCCACAGCTGCAGCACAGACACCCTAAAATAGTAATAAAAATGCTGAAACATTTTTAAATGCTTTAAATCTGCTTGTTCATCCTGTGCTTGTGCGGTCTGTAAAGAGGGGCGTGGGGATGAGCATTTGGAACCTGCAGTCCGTCTGTCTGTCTTGGARTGTCCACCAGGAAAACCCCAGTCCCTGGGAGCAGGACGGGACTGCAGTGAGCCCTGAACCCCAAACCCCAGCCCTGAACCCCAAACCACAACCATGAGCCCCAAACCTCAGCCCTGAGCCCCAAACCACAAACATGAGCCTCAAACTCCAACCTCGAGCCTCGAATCCCAGCCCTGGGCTCCAAATTCCCATCCAGCCCCAGCCCCTGTAGGCCCACCCCATCCCAGGAAGGATTTAGGTTGAGGAGAAGGGTTTAGGCATTACAGGACTGAGTTACAGCAAAAACCTCCTGGAGAGGGGACCCTCGCTCAGGGACACCCCACGCACCACCACCCCCTTCCTTCCTGCCGTGACACCCGGCACGGACGGGCCCCCTCCGCCGGATGCAGGTGTGTTCTGGCCGCGCCTCAGCGCCGCTCGCCAGCCCTGGGCGTTTCATCGCCCGCCCCGGGGGCTCATAGCCCGCCCTGGGTGTTCATAGCCAGCCCCGGGGGTTTAGAGCCGCCCCGCGCCTCCGCCCCGCATTTCGGGCAGTGTGGCAGGATGCGGCCGGCACTGGCAGCGTGGCTGGTGCTGAACCTGCTGGGGGGGACGGGAGCCGATGGCACATGCGGGGAACCCCCCGAGGTCTGGACCCAGTCCGTCTCTGCGCCCCAACTCAGCCCCGAGGAGCGGCTGTCGCCCCACATGCCCGGATCTCTGCTCTGCGACGCCTGCCACGCCATCGCCTTCCAGGTGGGGACCGGGGAGACGGCGTCCCAAAAGCGGGGTGAGAACCCCTGCGGGATGCTGAGGCCTGGGGGGATGCTGTCGGCTCCCTTGGGGCACCCACTGATGGRTATTCCCCATCGGCACCTCAAAAAAGCCCTTGGGGCTCCTCATGGAGATGTGCTTCTGCTGCGGGGATCGCACGGAAGGGGGTGCAGACCCCAGCCCSGCTCGGGACCAGGGTCATGGAGAGGCTGCCACTCTCACTGCCCGGATTCTGCCTTTTTTCACCCCAGATTGAGCAGCAGCTACTCAAGGCAGAGGGAAAGATGGGCAAGAAGGCGCTGAAGGAATCAGACTACATCGAGGTGTTGGAGAGGAGCTGCTCACAGGACTGGGAGAGGTGACAGGGGTGTCCCTGGGATGGGGATGTCCCCAGGGATGGGGATGTTCCCGGGGATAGTGATGTTCCGAGGGATCAGGGTGTCCCCCAGGTACAGGGTGATGGATCCCAAGGGGACAGAGATGGCGTGTCCCGGGGATCGGAGTGCCCGCGGGGCTGTCCCCAGGGGTAGGGGTGTCCCCAGCGACCATTTTCCCTCCAATGCCCCCTCTTCCCGCAGTTACGGGGTGCTGGAGSTGGACGGGGAGAAGCGGCTGTCGGGGCCGGGGCTGCCCAGCCAGCAGCCCCTGAGCGTGATGGTGTCGGGGGGACTGTGGCCGAGCAGGTGAGTCGGGGGCTCGGCGGTGCAGGGGCTCCGGGCGGTGTCCCCTCGCCGCCTGGTGACCCCCCCGGCTCCTCGCAGGCTCTCCAAGATGTGCCACAGCTACGTGGGCGAGCGGGGCGAGGCGCAGATTTACGGGGCKCACCGGCGGGGCCCGGCMGCGCTGCGGCAGCTGCTGTGCCAYGGGGACAAGAGACCCTGTGCCGGCCGCAAGGACGGGGGGCCCGACCCCCCCAAGGCGCTGCAGAACGAGCTGTAGCCCCGGCGCGGTTAATGCTTAATGCCCCGGCGACCTTCGGAGCCGACTTCGTCCCCAGCGGGAGCCGACACGTGCCGGGAGGTGGGCGCCTTCCCGCTGTCGCCTGTCACCGATGTCGCCGCTGTCGCTCGACGCCCGGCCCGGCCGCGCCGGCAGCAGCTCGGGCTCGGTCCGGGCGCGCTGGGAATTACTCTGTAACCCGCGGGCTCTAATGTTTCACCACGGCGGTGCTCCGCGCGGGTGCAGCCCCAATTAAAGCAGTTAATGGCTGATCCGCGCCGGGGCTGCGCTCCCTGGTTTCACAACCCCCAGCCAATGGTCGCTGTCCCGCCCGCCGCCCCTGTCACCGCCACCGCCCGACTGGTGACTAAAGTCCTTCCCACGGCCATAAAACCCCCCCGAGCAGGGACATCGCCGCCGGGGACACGTCGTCAGAGGATGGGGACCCGCTCAGGAGACCTGGCTCAGCCCCAGGTGAATGCAGCCGCCGTCCCTGTCCCCGTCCCCATCCCTTCCTCGGTGTCATCCCAGGGCGGTGGGGAGGGAGGCGCTGACCCGGGGTACTGACCCCAGCGATGGCCAGCGCAGGGCAGGGCTGACAAAGGCCGGGGTGAGCCTGGGGACTGCGGTGGATCCCGGGACCAAGGGGACAGGCTGGAACACTGGGACTGGCTGTGCCATCTTCCCAGCACCTGCGGATCCCCCTCCACACTTCCCAGGAACAAACTGTCACGTAGGGAGCRGCGGGTTTGGGAGCCCAGACCCCTGCTGGGGGTCAGAGCTGGCACCGGGTGGGACTGACCGGACACAAAAGCTGAGCCATGGCCCGATGTCACCCGCGTCGCCCAGGGCAGAGCCCAGCCCCTTTTCCGTGGGACACCTGGGCGCACACTGACCCAGCTCCCACCTCATCCTCACTGCCAGAATGGGAACCCCGCTGGCTCCCCGCCGACCCCCGGCAAGGAGCTGCCTGCGACGGGCAGGGTAAGTACCGGGGCACCCCGCGGGCAGCACCGCATCCCCAATCTGTCTGTAACACACCTGCGGATGGACACCAGCCAGCCGGGACCCCTCCCACTCCCGAGGTCGCGGGGGCTCCCCATGGCGCAGGGTGAGGTGCCCGTTCCTGCGCGCAGCCCCACGGCAACCCAGGGCTGAGCTGTGCCCCCACACAGCAGGACCCCGGGGCGGGCACCGGGCCCCCCCGGCCGGAGGTGGACATGCTCTACTTGATCGAGGACGTGCCCCCCTGGTACCTCTGCATCCTGCTCGGCTTCCAGGTACAGCCTGGACAGTGGCAAATGCCGAGTCCCCTCCCCCCGCGGTGTGGGGCACCCCAGGGCCCCACAGCCCCGCTGAGCCTCCCCTCGCCCCCCAGCACTACCTGACCTGCTTCAGCGGCACCATCGCCGTCCCCTTCCTGCTGGCCGAGAGCCTGTGCGTGGGCAAGGACCAGCTCACCGTCAGCTACCTCATCGGCACCATCTTCACCTGCGTCGGYATCACCACCCTCATCCAGACCACCGTGGGCATCAGGTAGAGCCGTGGCCCCGGCGGGACCCCCTGCCCAGCCCCGGGCCCGGGCGCAGGCATCCCTCCCGTCCCCCCAGGCTGCCCCTCTTCCAGGCGAGTGCGCTGGCTTTCCTGGTCCCCGCCAAGTCCATCCTGGCCCTGGAGAAGTGGCGCTGCCCACCCGAAGGTGAGGGCAGGGAGGTGCGGGGGGTGTCCGACTGTTCCCGCCCCCCGGGACCACCTGAACCCCCTTCATCCCCAGAGCAGATCTACGGCAACTGGTCRCTGCCGCTCAACACCTCGCACATCTGGCAGCCCCGCATGCGAGAGGTACATCCCCCCACCGCCCCCGGGCGCCCCAAACCGCCTGGCGGGCTGCTGACACCCTCTCCTCTGCTTCTGTGTGCCTTGCAGATCCAGGGGGCCATCATGGTGTCCAGCCTGGTGGAGGTGGTCATCGGGCTGCTGGGGCTCCCCGGGGCACTGCTCAGCTACATCGGGCCGCTGACCGTCACCCCCACCGTGTCCCTCATCGGACTCTCCGTCTTCCAAGCGGCCGGTGACCGGGCCGGCTCCCACTGGGGCATCTCTGTGCTGTATGGCATGGGGACACGGGGCACGGGGGGCCAGGGCTGTCCGATATGGAGCCAGGAGGATGTCAGGGGCACGAGGGATCCCGTCTCTCTCCCCCCAGGACCATCTTCCTGATTATCCTGTTCGCCCAGTACYTGCGGCAGGTCGCCATCTACTTGCCCGGCTACCGGCGGGGCCGTGGCTTCGTCCTGTTCCGCGTCCAGATCTTCAAGATGTTCCCGGTAGGGATTGGCTAACAGTATCTTAAGGTGGCCCCAAATCCCCCCCCTTTATCCACACGTGGGTTTGCCAGCGGTGCAGGAACGTGCTGGTGTGTGCCCCGCAGATCATCCTGGCYATCATGCTGGTGTGGCTGATCTGCTACATCCTGACCCGCACTGGAGTGTTCCCCAGCCAGCCCGAGGAGTACGGGTACAAGGCCAGGACGGACGCCCGCGGAGAGATCCTGTCCGTGGCACCCTGGTTCCGGGTCCCCTACCCCTGTGAGTGTCCGGCAGCCCCACGGTGCGCTGGGCTCCCCGCTTTGCCCCGAGGGATGTGGAGACCTGGTGCAGCATCACCGGGGCTGGGGAGCACCTGGAGGGGGACCCAAAGTGGCACCGGGGAGCACCGAGGAGGGCGGGTCCTGGGATGTCCCCAGTTCTGACCTGCTCTGCCCCCCTGGCAGGCCAGTGGGGGCTGCCCACGGTGACCTCGGCAGCCGTRCTGGGCATGTTCAGCGCCACGCTGGCGGGCATCATCGAGTCCATCGGGGACTACTACTCCTGTGCCCGKCTGGCAGGAGCTCCTCCGCCCCCAGTGCACGCCATTAACAGGTGCAGCCAGCTGTTCTCCCCTCCACGATATCCCACTCGCACCGTGGCATCCCTGGGGACCAATCAGGGATGCTTCAGGAGCGCGGGATGGGGACCAGCTCGACCGTGTTGTCTCCCAGGGGTATTTTCACCGAGGGCATTTCCTGCATCATCGCGGGGCTGCTGGGAACCGGCAACGGCTCCACGTCCTCCAGCCCCAACATCGGCGTCCTGGGCATCACCAAGGTACCGGGGCCGGGGAGGGGTCCCGGGTGGGCCGAGGGGCGCAGGCACCGTCACCTGCTGTCTGTGTGCAGGTGGGGAGCAGGAGGGTGATCCAGTACGGCGCCGGGATCATGCTCGTGCTGGGGACCATCGGCAAGTTCACGGCGCTCTTCGCCTCCCTGCCCGACCCGGTCCTCGGCGGGATGTTCTGCACCTTATTCGGTAACTGTCCACCCCCCGAAACCCGGAGCTCTGCTCAAAGCAGCCCTGGGTCACGTCCCCGCAGCTCCACGGGCTAGTGAGCTCAAGGGATGCAGGGCAGGTTTGGGGGGGAACCGGGGCTGCCTCCCCGCGGCTGGGACAGCCCCCGATGCCCGGCCCCGCCGGCGCCGCCGCGGGCACCTCCGGCTGCATCGCCACGTCTCTGCCGGTAGGAATGATCACGGCCGTCGGCCTCTCCAACCTGCAGTTCGTCGACATGAATTCCTCCCGAAACCTCTTCGTGCTGGGCTTTGCCATGTTTTTCGGGCTGACGCTGCCGAACTACCTGGATTCCCACCCCGGGGCCATTAACACAGGTGCGGCACCAGCAGCCGCGGTTTCGGGAGTTTAGGGAGAGAGGAGGGCAGGTCTCCCGGGTGCTCGTCCACCCCGGGGAGCAGCTGGGAAATCCTCACGGCACCGCCGGCTCTGTCCCGCTCTCTCGCAGGTGTCCCCGAGCTGGACCAGATTCTGACGGTGCTGCTGACGACGGAGATGTTCGTCGGGGGAATCATCGCCTTCGTCCTGGACAACACCATCCCGGGTAACTGCAGCACACGGGGCCAGGGAGGGGGAAACAGGAGCACTGGRGCAGATTCCTGTTGGTTTAGAGCTGTCAGAGGGGGTGGTGCAGCATCACCGGGGCCGGGGAGTGACACTGGACATCYCCGCAGGGACGCAGGAGGAGCGAGGGCTGGTGCAGTGGAAGGCAGGAGCGCACTCGGACAGCACSACCAGCGCCAGCCTGAGGAGCTACGACTTTCCATTCGGGATGGGCGCGGTGCGGAGGAGCCGCTGGCTGCGGAAAGTGCCCATCTGCCCCGTGTTCACCGGGTTCAGGGCCCGGGCGAGGGGCAGGGGCGCGGCGGCCGCAGAGGCGCCGGGCGGCACAGACGGSCTCTCGGTGTGCACAAAGGTCTGAGCGAGGGCAGGGTCCCTGGAGGGTCCCGCCCCAGCGCCGGAGGAGCCGAGCCGAGCTCCCGGGATACCGTCGGGGTTCGGTAGCACCCACCAAAGCCAAAGCCAAGGCTTCTGGTGCTCGGCTCGAACGCAGGGCTAGGGAAAYACAACGCTGCTGTTGGGGGACACCCCGAGCTCCGGGGTTCAGCCTGGGACCGCCACGCAGTGCCGTGCTCCACCCCAGGCTTTTGCTGGCTGAGACTCATCCGGCGCTCGCTGAAGCGCGTCAGCCACGGAGCCAGCGGAGCCCCGGGGCCAGCAGCTCCCACCCGGCCGCGGATTATCGGGCCGAGCAGGGTGACCCGGCGGCTGGCACGGGCTCCGCTTGGGCCAGTGTCCAGAACAGCGTTAGGATGCCTAATTTAAGATTATACATTAAAAATGATAAAATATTCAAGTGCACGTGCCCTGCCAGTGTCTCTGCTGCCTCCTGCACCGCTCCCTCGCCCTTTGTGCACTGCAAAGGCGTCAGCACCTTTGCCCGCTGCCTCCTGGGCTGCCTGACACGGAGACACGCTGGATTTAATCCAGGTGGGCTCTGCCCGAGCCTGGTGCAGTGGCACAGGCAGCTCAACACAAGCCCTTGGCAAGCCCTTCCTGCTGTGGGAGCTGGGCAGAGCTGGCTCTGTCGTGGCTGTGCTGGTGACACTGCCCCGTGCCGCCGGTGTTGTCAYCTGCAGGCACAGAGGTGGCTGTCCCCGCCACGCAGCGGGGTCAGGTCAGTCCTGGGCTCGGCTTCAGAACCAAAGTTGAGCTGAGGCRACGTTGCACAACCCCGTCACAGCCTGTGGTGGCACTGCCACACACTCGGTCCCCAGGCTGAGCAGGGAGAGAAGTGAGAAAATCTGTYAGAAGTGAAGATGAGGGGGAAAACCCCCAACTTAAACCCCAAGTGATGCAAATGCAACCACTCCCCACTCCCACGTGCACCAGCCAGGCTCTGGCTGAGTCTCCTCTGCTGCTGCTGTGCCGGTGCTGGAGCGGAGCACGGTGTTRGAGTGTGTGACACCTCTCTGGCCAGCTGGGCCCCCTCCCAGCTCTTTGTCCTCCCAGCCCATTTGCTGGGGCTGGAGCAGGGCTGAGGAAGCCTGGGTGCCGTGCAGGTGCTGCTCAGCCCCGGGGAGCCATCACTTCTGCACCAGTCACACCCCAGACCCAGCGGGGCAGGGGCTGCCATGGACAGCGGCAGTTCCTCCCCAATAAACATCCCAGCGCTACGGGATACAGGAGAGCGATAAAACCAAAGCTACCATGGCCAGCTGCTCCACACGCTGGCTCCTGGCTGCTCAGCTGTCACCACCTCGAGGAGATGGTGGCCAGGCAGAAGCTCATGGACAAACTGCAACAGCGCAGGACTCACTGGTGAAACTCCCARTGTAGATAAAAATCGGCTGAGGAACGGTGCTGAGTTATTTGCTGACCTTCTTCTTTAGGTGCTCAAGCCTAAACTCTGTGCAGGTCAGGAGAAATCCTGGAGCAGTGTTGCCTGCTCTAGGAAGTCCAGCTCTGCATGGGAAGGCAGCACAGAGCCCGAGGTAACTGCACTATAATTTCGCAGAGCAATAGCAAAAGAGGTTGGTGCAGCTGAATTCCCCCAGGGGAGGAGAGRGGAGAGGCTCTTCCTCCTGGAGCAGGAGCGGCTGACACAGCGATGTGGTTCTGCTGCAGGGCAACACCTGCGGGAAGGCTCCACCTCACAAAGCCCGCCCAGCAGAGCTGCAGCTCCCAGCTGCTCCTTTGGTTTAATCAGAGCTAGAAAASAAGACACGAACAGCGGGGCTGGGCTGTCCTGAGCAGGGCCAGGGCTTGGACTCGATCCTTGTRGGTCCAGGACAAGATATGCCATGGAACAAGCGAGGACAGGACAGGAGAGGCTGTTGCAGCACCRCTCGACTCCACAACTCTGGGGGTCCACACCAAGCACCAGGCAGCAGCTTTTTAGTGCCATCAGCTGCTCCCAGAGCTGCCAACAGGGGCAAGYTGGGAACAGCCAGAGGGAAAAAGAAAGGTGTGCATGGAGTGGGAGGAGAGGAATMAATTCCCACCCCTGGMAGTGTCSGAGGCCAGGCTGGCCAGGGCTTGGAGCACCCTGGTCTARTGGAAGGAGTCCCTGCCCATGGCAGCAGAGTTGGAATTGGATCTCTGAAGTCTTTTCCAACCCAARCCAGTCTGTGATTCCATGAYAAGCATCCAGCTTCAGCCAGGATCCTGGGCGATCAGGTTCCACAGCCTTCCAGGCCCTGTCCTCCACACGATGCCAAGAGAGCTCCCGTGCGAGATGMCCAGTTATGAGACAGCCACCACATCAGTTCTACTATTATTTATTTTTTTAAATATTTTTGAAAAAATATAATTTTTTTACAATATTTTCAACTTAAACACTATTCACACTGAACACGTATGGCAGCTTAACCTACCCAAATATGAAGTTTAAGAAGCCAAAACTGTTCTAGCTTTATTAAAAGAAAAAAAAAAACCAACCAAAAACCAAAGAAACAAAAAGTCATTGTGCTGTAGACTATTGTGTAGTGATGATTAAACAAAGCAAGGGAAAAGCACCACTCAAATCACTAATGCTGGGGTTTGCCTGGTTAAATCCAGCTATGGGAAGTCGGATGCTAAGARTTACATAGGCTGTGCTATGTATAGGCGCCCATTCTTGGAAGAAACTGTGATGGATCTCACATCTCCTTGAACATGAAGGGGAAAGGTTTCTAACATGGTAACACACTGCAAAGGACAGGGAACTGCTTCCTCCCAATTGACAGGATGTTAGTTCAGTAGCTGAGATCTACGACTCTGTACAGGTCTGTAAGATTTGGGTTAAGCTCACGATGCTTCCCAGGATCATGACGTTTTGTAAGGGGGAAAATTAACATTAGTAACAACACTGATACCTCAAAGGAAGTTAGCTAATTTGCATAACAATCAGATCTCCTCACTTTCACTTGGAAGTTAAGGCATTATCAGGTGCAAGCTAGCACCAGTTAACACATCTTTAGTTAAAAACAGACCATTCACCGCAAATTCCAAGTCCTGTTTAAAAAGTCAGAGTCTGCAGAAGGTTTTATTAACGTGGTATTTTGTCTCAACTTGACTGGTGCTTCTTACCTCACTGCCTCCTTCGCACAGAGCCAGGGCCCAATTATGTTTCCATTAAACTTTTGACAGATTTACTTAATAACAGTCTCAGCACTTTTATTGAGCATGCAAGACTAACAAAACTTTGGCAATGCATAAGTGTAACACAGTGACAAGAAGAGAGAGCTTTTACAATTAAATCTTCTAATACTGGCTTCACAGTGTGGAAATTGTGCTACATCCACCAAAAGAGGGCCCAGTCTACTCAAATGTTTAAGTACTTCACCCCAGGAACAAACTCCTTTGCGTTTGGATTCAGATTACTCTTGACCTAAGGAAGGGAAAAACAGAAATTGAGGTGAATTGTTATTTTCAACTTCCATTTTCAAGCTGAAGACAATTAGAAGCAGAGAGCATTAGGAAAGGTTTATGGATTTAGAGTAACAATCAGGTATACAATAGGCTTCTTACATTTATCAGCAGTCTATAACCCTAGAAAAGCCCATTCCTCTGTGCTACTCCCTCAGTTATCCACCCTTCCTTAGCTCCACCTGAAGTCTCAGTTGGATGAGGGCTCAGGGAATAAGCAGCAGACCACAGGCATGCAACAAACACAGCAGTTTCCCCTCATGCTGAAACAGCCTTTTCTAAAGTTGAGCTGTTAAAACGTGCCATGAGGTTTTTAAATTTTGCTTATTTAAGCAAGAGGTGACTTGTTCCAGGAACTTCAGCCACTTCTGGGAATTTTATGTGTGTGAGCAGTGTATTGATTTTTTATAKGTCTGTCTGTGACTCCCCTGTCCTCCCCCTTGGCCAGTTACTGCTGCTCAGTGTCCTGCAGTTAGAGGTGGGCACCAGCACCTTCAAAAGGAGCTCTTTATCACAAGGAAATGGAGGATCTTCACTCAGTCTGAAACTGCTGCCTGCAGCTGCTTCAGCTTGGAAAAGCTGGGGTCTGCATCTGAATCTCAGAGCAGTTGTGACAGGATGGTGTGGGATCTGTGTTCCCTACCAGGAACTTTGGATTCTGTCAGGGAAAATAAGCTGCCCTTCCCTTTGAGTTACACTCTGCTCAGAAGTCAGACAGYAAAAAGGGAAACAATCAGTTTGGCTGCTTTCCCCTTCCTTAGAATAGCTACAGAGATCTGCTGTGGTTCTCCCARTCATAACCAGACCTTGGGACAGAGCTCAGAGCAGCCCAACATGTCAATGCTGGCAGATGCCCAGTGACCCTTTCGCAGCCCTGACTCCACTCACTGCCCTTCTTTCACAACATCCCACCCACTCTTGAACTCGTGTCATGGACTGGGAAAAGCTCCACGTGGGTAAGAAGAAACCCACCAAACAGGTCACATCCCAGGAGGACATAGCGCTTCCCACCCACCCTGCACAGCCAGGCTCCTTCCTACTGCAAAGGAATTCCTCTTGCCATCAGCAGCACCCAAAGACTCAACCTTTAGAAATAGGATGAGAAGCTGAATTTACCACCAGATCCTCCAGCGATGAGCTGTCACTGATAACAAGGTCATTGAACTGGTCCTGGATTTGATCCATTGTTTGTGGGAGATCACGGGCTGGAATAAACCATTCATGCTCCTCCTCTTCTTCCAGCATCTCCTGGAAACAGCGCTCAATAAATTCTTCTTCCCACAACTCCTCTTCRATCTGTACAATGAAAAGAAACTGCTTTAGCAACAAATCTACTGTGAGCTCAWGGGTTTTTTTATTCCCAGGTGTATGCACCCAGCTGATCTTCCCAGCTATCCAACAGGACCCCAACCCAGCCCCATGTCCATGCAGCAGGAAGGACATCATTGCTTTGTGCTAGGGACTGGGGCTGCAGCTAAAAGAGAATGGCAGGAGAACMCCCCCAGCCCCAGCTGTTTCATTTGCAGCTTGTTATGAGCTAAAGGAGAAGGAAAATGTTAGACCCAAGCA